CAGATCCTTTTATTTTACCGCCCACCTCGTTTTCTCTCTTTTCCGCCACCCTTCCCCCCCTCCCCTCCCCTCCGTCCGTCGCATCCATTCCGCTTCGCCGCGCCAACGGACCCGGAATTAACGGCGTTAATTTGTTTTAAGTACGCCCGAGGAAAGTTTCGGCGAGGTCTGAGTATCGATGGCGCTCGTTGACCGTTGATATTCTCGAAGGGCCGAACACTCGTCGAAGTCCGTTACTTCACCGTGTGATTTCGCTAAAAAGCGAATAGAACTCATGTACAAATTCTGTGATATTTCGGAATATATAATAATTATAATATACAGAAAAAAATACAGAAATTATAAAAGAGCTATAAAATAACGAAAGATAAGTAAAAAGCGGAGAAATGAGAATTAAGTATGGTAATCAATGCGCAAATCTTTCAATTATAAAACCTTTAATATAATTGACTACATTCATTATAAAATGCAATGATTAAAAACACTGGACATCATTTTTTATTTTGTTTATTATTATAAAATGTTGTTTATTGTTATAACTAGATAGAAAGTTGGTTTTTAATTCCAAAGTTTATCATTAATTTTGACAAATTTAGTAAATATCAAACTTCATGATACTAATTTGTTTTCTATACTGATATTAATTCCAATAATATACATGTATATATATATATAAAATAGAATAAAATGTTTTAAATTTGTTTCGGCATTATCAAATAAAGCTACGAAAAATATTCGCGAAAGTCTTTAAAAAAATTTATTTTTTTTTTCCAATAGACGTTACAAATCTTTCTTCTTCAATTGTTATTTTCGAGACCCTTCGATATCTCGAATTATACTGCGTGTCGGTTTACATTAATCCGACAACAACGACAACAATATCACGTTGACGGAATTTTGCATACGATAACGAAGTTCGTCGTCCGCATTTGCTTTCGCATAACATGTAAATACGGAACTCGTTCTGTGACTCGTTCGTTTCACCGCGATCTTTCCGCTATTGCGATAGGAGCCGATAGCTGATCGAAACACGAGCGATTCTCGATAGTATTCATCCAGTTTGGCGTATGTTTCCGCGCGGTGTGCATTAGCGGCATTATCGAGAGCGAGGAAGTTTGCTCTTTATTACTCTCAAACGTGAATTACTCATCCAGCATTTCAACTGCAGCCAATTACGTAGATTGAGTGACGTAGAAGTGTGCTTGCGGGATGAAGCCAAGAAAGTCGTAATCGCTCGCGTCGATATCGCGGACGGAACAAAGTTTCTCGCGTCGCGCTAAGTCGCTCCAAGTCTTTCGCGATAGGAGTCTCCTATTAAGAACACGCGAGATTAATTGTCCGCCGTTCGATCGCCGTTCGACTGATATTCCACGACGACGCACGTTACGCTTAACGCGTAATGATTCAAATTCAGTTGGCAGCTACGGGAAATAGATACATCGAAATTCTATCAAATCGTTAAGGAAATTTAATGCGGAAGCTATTTCTTATAAAGAAAAAGATTTTTTAATAATAAACATTTTTCTAAGAGCTTCTCTGCAAAGAGATTTAGTAAAATATAGAAAAATATAACAAAATATAATCTCTACTAGAGAGATGTGTTTGTCGACTGAAAATATTATAGAAACTTTTCTAAATAAAATTTAAGCGAAAAACGTTATAATGATATCGCAAATAAAAAATGTTCTATTAAAAATGCCGTTTTAATATGGAATATATTTAAGCTGGTTTATAAGTTTGTTACTTTATGCTTAATTTGCTAACTATTAAAATAATTTTTTTTCGTATTTATCTTTTTTTATCATTAAGAAATTTGTATGTTCTTTTTTTTTTTAATTCGAATAAATTCGAAGCACCCACGGATATTTTTTGAGATTGTGTCTACTTCTGTTACGTCATGCGCGCGTTTTGCATTTCCAATTTAAATGCTTGCGACTTTTTCATGGAAAATTTTAATCTGTTTCTCGGGATATGAATGTAATTACGTAAACCGTACATTCACGATGTTAGCACCCGCGTAGACTTTTGCACGTTTTATCACAACGCAGTCTCGCAAAGGCTAACGCGGTAGCAATAATAGTGTCTGGTAATTGCTGCGGGTTCCCGGATTTCACAAAGGTGAACTGGATTTCTGTTTCACTGAAGTGTACCCTCCAACGTTGCACAGCTCCAGCGGGGATATTGTTAAAAATAATATTGTCACGTTCGATATAACAATGTTGTAGAAAAGTGTCGCGTATATTTCAACTCGGTCTCCGATTTTTATCATCCTGGAAGAATTCACGAGTTAGCAGTATCCGGGACAAGACAGTGGTAAAGCCAGTCGGCGCGATAAAAACGGACGCATTTCGGGTTAAACGTTTCCTCAGAAACGAATTAGGGCGAAGTAGGGTAATCTACCTAGCGTTGAATATCGAGATTTCTAGAATGGCGTAACCATTCGAAGTAAGCTCGTCCGTTACAATACGCTTTGCTTCATCGATCGCGATTTGATCGTATCAAGAGAAGAGGATAGCACTTATCGGAAGAATAAAAGCTTCTTATCTTTTTACTTATTTTTCTAAACGAAGATGTAATATAGAAATGATTGTATTTTAATTTTTCGGAGTGTAATTCTATCAAATTCAAAATGAAATTCTGAGAATTTATAATACAGGTTTTATCTCCTACAAGAGTACGCAATTAGAGGGTCATTTATATTTAAAAGATCGAATATGTTTCAGCTCTGCTTTGAAATTAAAATTTGCGTCATTAATATTCTTGTAATCAGTTCGAGATGAATGGCGTCCAGACTTTTACCGTTTCCGCAAAATAGAACATCAGGCAGAATATACGATACTCAATGTGCAATTATCTGAAGCGAATATTCAGTCCTTTTTCTTTTGATCATAAAATTGATCAAAAATTAAATTATTACATGGTATAATTTTGATAGGAATCATAATTTATCGTTATTGGAGAAGAAATTGATAATCGGAAATGAGATAAATTTTCTTCACTAAAATGTGGCTAGCAATATCGAGCTATTTAGGTATCCGGATACTATTCAGAGCGTTACACGAGTAAATCAAATCCGGATGTCCGTCTAATATTCATGTGATTGCCAAATGGACTGAATTGCGGCGGCAGATGTAAATCACAGACAAACCGAGAAATATAGTTAATGGCTTCAAAGCTAAAATCTCCTTTATTAATCTAATAATTTTATAACATTTATTAAATAAATTATATAATACTTATTTAATAAGGTTCCTTGGTTCTTTTTATCTTGACATATCCGCATTATTTCCTGAAAACAAAATATAGAAAAACAGCGTTTATGCACAGTAAAAAATCGTGCGTCCATATGTAGAATTTTTCTTGTGTTACCACATTTTGATTATTACTTCAATGTAAAATCAACATACAACTGATATGTTATTATTTTTGTAATATTTTGAGTGTGTTTTTAACACAATTGTTTCAATTAATCTATATTTCTCAAAGTCAATTTAATATCTAAGAATTTTTTCATTCACATTATACGAACAAAAATGTTTTATTAACATTTTCTTACGAGTTACTGCAACTACTCTTCTATGTACTCTACTTATTTTATATGTTAGTTTTAAATCATCCCTAAAGTCAAAATAACAAATATAAATGTAAAGTATTGTGTCAATTATTTAACATTACTAGTTCGTTAATAAATAACACAAGACGAATGAGTTACTTTAACTTAAAATTTAGAGTGGATCTCCTGGGACATGTAAAAAATGTTAAAATTAAATTATCTTTTTTACTGTGTGGGATTACTTAAAATGAATATCTTTTCTCTTACCTCAATAGAAAATTGTATTGCCGTATAGAAAATTACATTGACTTTATTCTTTTGTGATATTTCATGTAATTATATGTCGCGCATTGCATGAAGTACAACTTGACAACTATTAATATTGAAAATATGTATCGTATATATTAATGTTACCGCCGACTCTCCAATTTAATTTAGGCACGTTCCTTTGTGATTGCGGTGAAGCTACATATTAGTGCGCCGAATGTTTACCAATCCCACAGTGATATTACATCGGAAAATTTAACGAGCGCTTCATGGAAGGGTTGAACGCTTCCTAAGCGATTTGCCTCAAAATTCCACTTGGCGTTCCTTCGTAACAACGTGCGAGCATAATGTGCGAGACGCCGATATGGTACCGTGTCTCTCGTCCGCGACACATAAAGCACGCTTGGCTTTTCCGCATTTACAGCCGATCAATCGCGCACATAAAAGTTCGCCGTACGGGAACGGGTCTGAGAGAGATCGGGGGCGACGAAATCGCTCGTTAGCTCACGAGGAAAGTAGTCGTTCCGACGATATCGACGGCGACGCTCCGCAGTAGGAACTGCTTCCGAAGTTTTATTCGCGTGGCCACACCATCGCGACGATTTAACGTCGGTAAATTCGCCTTATTCCCTTTCCCTTCTCCTCCATCAACCTGCACAGGATGCTAGAAGATGGTGATGGCCGACGGCGGAGAAAAAATAGGGATGATGGAAGGTCGAGAAAAGTATTATCGCGTAAAAAAAACGCTCAATATTCCGCAAACGTATTCTCGCGTATGGAGCGACACGTGCGAAGAACGCCATCGGGATGCGGCGGAATTCCGGAAGCGTTACATTCTCTGAGGTAAATTTTACTCCAAGATTCCATCGGCTTGAAGAGGCTTAACGATCTCGTGGAGATCATATTTTGAATAACGCGGTATCCCGATGAAACGTGAATAGAGGAAATTTTAACTTTTGTTTGAATATGGCGTTGCTGTGCGTTATCTGCTTAATCTACGTGATTTATTTTATTAACGCGATCTTATTAATGTCAAGTGTACGCTCTAAAGAATATGGGATTTAACATCACGGTGTAGATTTTACACTCTCATCCGTCTCGCCGCCTTCGCCTATTTTCGAGCTTGAATGAGCAGCAGCTTCGCATGTGCAAGTACAGGACCGTTGATACTACATATAACTAGGGTTGACAGTAACGTCGTTACTTTGTTGATCGTTACCTTGTTATAATAACGATTTGATAATGACATTGTGAATTTTTTATGACGGTAATGGCAACATCGGAGTTAGAAAAATCAATCGTTGCTTGTAACGGATTGAAAAAGTCATTCGTTATTGAAAAAAATAACTCCTTTTTCCATAAATTTGTAACGCGTTACTTTTTTTACTCGCGTTACTTGTAACGAGTAACGTTATCCGTTACTCGTTACTTATTACTTTTTTTTAGTAAGTAACGCGTAATGATGACAAATTACTTTTCAAAGTGACTTTTTAAACCTTAACACAACCTTAGCGTTTAGTTAGTTAGTGTTACCGTCATAAAAAATTGTGCAACATCGTTATCAAATTGTTTATTATAGAAAGTAATGACAAAGTAACTGAAAAGTAACGTTTGCCAACCCTGCATATAACTTACGTATGTAATCAAAAAGATACCTTTGAAGTAAAATTAAAACTTTTAACTGATGTACATTGCGATGTGAAAGTAATGACAAAGTAACTGAAAAGTAACGTTTGCCAACCCTGCATATAACTTACGTATGTATGTAATCAAAAAGATACCTTTGAAGTAAAGTTAAAACTTTTAACTGATGTACATTGCGATACCCATTTAATAGCTCTAGATTTAGTAATGCAATGTTAATTAAATATTATACTGTTACAAATATCATGAAATTTGATGTACTTTTAAATTACACAAGTTAAATTTAATTTAATGACATTACATCAAATTTAATGTACCTATAAAAAGTATATTTGTGTACATGAAATTTTATGAAATTTATTTCATGCATTTTCCATAAAATTTTATGTGAATTTGCGTGAAATTTAATGCATGTGAACATTAAATTTAAGTTATTTGTAACTGCATTTTTATTGACAACATTAAATATACTTGCTTGAAATTTGCTTCTCTATACGAAATTTACTGCTTTTTTAAAATAATGTATTATACACTCTAAAAAATATAAGTGTAGATGTAATTGGTTCTAAACTATACCATGTTGGTGATGGTGTTTATATTATTGTCAACATCATGAGAATATATTTAATCCTCCGCCGGGATCTTTGAAAAAGCCATATTTTAATTGTGAATTTTGGCGAATTTAAATCTGTAAAAAATAACTAAAATACACTCTATGATGGTAAAAACTTGTTAAAGCTTTGACAATTAAAGTATACTGGAATTTTTTCAGATTTTTATATAATTTGGAAGAGCAAAAAATTTACTCTGTTTCTCAAAAATGCTTATTGCTGACGGAAGAATTAAAAATCATGTTACCGATGGAAGGCTGTAAACACCCGTACTTTTAGTAAGAGTGTACAATAGTATTTACTATTTATATATAATTGATATTGTATTACTAAGTATTGAGCTATTGAATATTGCAATGTTCAATCAAAAGTTAGTCACATAATTTTAATACTTGGTATTTACTAAGACAAGTTGTATGCATAAATTAAATAGGCAGGTTTTATAAACAAATCGAATGATAAAAGCGATTCAGGCATTGTTAGCGTCTGGATTTCGTAACTATCAAGTTTATATCGTTGCTATATTTCGCGAAACGTTTAACTGTGTTGCAAAACAAGATTTACAAGGAAACTGCAGTGCTTTTAATAACGTAACGAACATGAAGTGTGAGTTTCTCCGATACATAAAATAGACTTGTCTCGGAACATGGCATTGGATATATGGCACGGCTACAATCGCCATTCAGTGTAGTGCAAGTTCATAACGTACGAGTCTCCGTTTCTTGTCGAGCAATCAATTTAAATACCATAAGCTCGATATTGGAATATAACGCAAAAACGATGAGCATCCGATGCGCATTGCTCAACACGGGGGATGTTTATGTCGAGCGTGCGACGCTCGCTCCTCGTCATGCCCTTATTTTCCGAAGGCGCATCGCGTATAACGCAGGATATTGCTGTTCTTTATATTTTCAAAGGATGCTGCGTATTGGGCGCCGGGAGCTATTGCGAGCTGAAAGAGAGAAAACGGCGAACTCCATGCATATACGTACGTTATATTATATGCAGCATTCGCGACACTGTGCGTGCACGTGCGTATAAGGTGTTGTTCGTTCAACGTTGGAAGTGGATAGCGAGACGGATGAGAGTTCGGATGAGGAAAAATTTATTGCCCGCGATGCGGTTCGTCGCGTTCATAACCAGCATAATGCACTCTTTATGGCTCGTGCCAAGAGCTGCGAACGAAAGCGTGGAAATTGTTTATATACACACCATTTCGTCAGCGCAGTAAAAAGACTTTGCACAGCCTGCTTTCAATCTGTTTGTTCGCGTTGCTTTTACTGTTTCACGAACGCTTGAGAGATCGTAATGGAGAGGCAATATATTTAAAATGATACGGATATAATGCGCTTAAATAGAAATATTTTAAGTATCTTTTAATACATGTCATTAACAAAGTAATTGCGTTTAATTAGTAAAATTAATTGCTAACTGTGTTACTATATGTGATTCAGAAGCAATTACTAAAAAGTTAATGCTAAATTCTTAGTTTAACGGATTTTCATGTTTAACATATCAATGCAAAAATTCAATTTAAAGCAAATTACAATTTATAACTGTTTATAAGTTTTGTTTGTACAGCAACATTTTACAATATATTTACGTAAAAATATTGTAAAATATTTTTATTTTACACACATAAAATAATAAAATATGTAATTTATCTTTTGAAAGGATATATAAAATATTACACAATGCGAAACGTATCATTTAATGAACATTTGTTGACAAATAAAGATTACTGTCGCGTTAATTTTGCAATGTATATACAAAATTTATTATTCAATTTGCTCAAACGTTGTCGTAATTAGGATAATATTTTCTATAAGATGAATATTTGAAACAAGCATGCACACACATAAACGTTTAGAATAGTTTTTTCGGAAATTATTAATTTTATTATGAGTTCTGGCCATATAGGTCGAAAGTATGACAAAGAAAGCATAAAAATGCATTACATAATTGAATGTTTTGTATTATATATAACAAGAGATTGCACGCAACAGATTCAGTACATCTTTAAGTATTTAAAAAACAGAGGCAAGTGATAAAATATTTTAATATCTCAAAATTAAATACCTTCTGTGAGTGTATAAAATAAGAAGTAGAACATATCTCTTTTTACGTGCGTTTTTAAAAAAATATTTTAGAAGATTATTATTTTTGTATAAGACTTATAATTAAAACTCTTAATACGAATTTAGTTTAACAAATGTTACGTTATAATTATATATTAAGTTATAATTAAGTAAGATTTAATAGAGAATATATATATTCAGCATTTCTTCATTTTCTATCTTCATGTATCGCAATTAGAGGAGAGACATCAAGAGAATACATACTGATAATTTAAATCGTATCTCATTAACATTTTATATTTTTACTTAATGTCAGCAATATTTTATCGGATTTGACTCCCGGCTGAGGTAATATTTTTCGCAATAAATTTATTTATGGATTTTTAATACATTGAGATTTCTCTAATAGGATGCCGATAGAGCATCAAATTATTAAATTGTTTATTAATTAAATTTATGACATTACTACAGTATAGTAGTTCAATTGACTTGCGTTTCAAGACCGAAAATACTTTTGGCGCGCAGTTTAAAAAGAACTACATATATGTAGTATATAAATTCATACAATTATTTCAGCACTAAAGATCTAGTTTGACCGTTCAGGATCCTTATTTCATAATCGTTATAAATATTTTACATTAATATACATTGATAAAATTTTAATTTATAGATGGCAAGAATTTGTGTTGTCGAAGACTTTCATGAGATTGCTTATAATAGGAATCGACATTATGACAAGTTTCGAATTGGATGAACGCCAGCATCGGCATTAATTCTTGGCTCTTTACTTCGAACTGTCATAAACTCGTATCATGATATTTGAAATGTTGAAACTTGGCTTTTTATCAAATAGATAATGCTTTTAATCCTTTACTTTGAAGAACTTCATATATGAATCAAAAGCACATTGTAGAGGGTAAAGAGCTATACGTATAGACTATTACAATTATGATTCTCAAATTTTGTATTTTTTGCAGTTAAAATATGTATAAAATATCAAAAGTCCTTTAATTTTCTTTTAGTATATAAAATATTCTTTTAATATATCAAATACTTTTTATACATTCTTTTATTAATTCTTTTATTAATTTGGAATCAATCTTTTTAATAAAAATCCTTTAAAATAATATGCATTGAATTACATATAGACTGTATTATCTAATAATAATTTCGTAAACGTAGAAAAATACAAGCTCGATGTTACCTTTATAATAAACAAGATAGTATAAAAGATCAAAATAAACGAGCAAAATTAAAAATGAATTAAGATGGTATATTCATAGATAATTTAATTAATTAGGTTCGTATTTAAAAGAGAACGAACAGAAAAGACCGCAAAACGTTTTGTACTCACAAAGTCTTTAGTTGTAACATAAAAAATCTATTAAAACAATAAAGTTAAAACATTTACATAATTAGATACGGATGAAATGGAAAGTCTTCAAGAAGCCATAATTGAAACACTGAGCTTTGCATCTCCTCACAATTATAGATAAACTAATAAAACGCACGTATCCCAGTGTGTTATGATATGTCGTAAGTCGTAAGTTTTACATAACTTTTCAAAAAATATCAAATCTTTGTTCTTAGATAAGAATTTGTTTTGTCATATAATAAATATGTATATGGAAATATAACATTAGAATCGTTCATTGAAATACAATATTATTGATATCAGTTTTATATTGATTAAAATATAGAACTCGCAATTAGCCCTTTTTTTGAAAAACGAAGAGAAGCAAACATGGGAATTCTCTTAACGAAATGAATTACAGTGTTAAACACCAAATTTATAACTTAATATACTTATAAAAAAAAGTATTTAAAAAACATTTTACAAATTAAGTATACATTTATCGCAATTAAATTTATGTTAAATTTTAATTAAATTGCATCATTTTAAAGAGTATAACTTTACAATTATCAGATCGTGA